ATGTCATGAAGACTTCACATTTCAATTTTATTTACAATTGGAATACTCATGTGATAAAAGTATCATCACCATCATATTCATTGTCACATTGTTGAAATAGGAAAGCCAAAATAAGAGACGTCAAAACTTTGATTGAAAGTCAGATGAGTGGTCGAGTCAAGAATTTCAATTACCTGTGTAGAAATTTGACAGCCTCACACAGAATCTTCCTGGCTGGTCCTCCATCAGTGCCTTTCCTCTGGCCAGCTGTGAGGCTAAACATTTGCCCACACTGGAGCCTTCCTCCTCCTCAGACAGCCTGACCTTGTTGTCCCCAAGGGGCCCCTTGCCTCTATAGCCATGCTCTCGTCAAGATGGATCATCAAAGCTGTGCAGGTTGCAAATTCCTTTCAGATCCTTGGGTTTTAGGAAAGAAATTGTGAACATGAATCTGGACTTTATTTATTGCTTCATGTTATAGAACTGGAAATGTGTGCTGTTCAAAAGCCCTGTATTCAAACATGTTTGTGAATTATGGAAACCACTGTAGCATGTTTTCCTAGAGGTTTTCAGTCCAGTCTAGTATTTTGATAGGCTTAATCCCAAAACTTTGAGTTCCCAGAGTGGATTAATAAAGTCCATCTCAGATATCATTTTTCTCACGTTTCAATAGCTGATGGTTTTTTGTTTTTTTAGTTTTACCAGTTTCCCTTCTTCATAGAATCATCTCCATTATTCTTTGGAGATGTACCTATTGTAAATTAAACTTGAATTCTGGGTAACTGATAATTATTGAGGTGACAGTTTCCAGTAACTGGGTTCTGCTGGAAAAAATGAAAGTCCTTTTGGCCTTAAAAAGCTAACCTGTAGGTTTGGAAAACTCTTAATTGAAGAAAAGTATTTTAGATTTCAACAAACAAGACAAAATTTTATAAAATGGTTTAGCAGAAGTGAGAACTCTAGGATAAAGTTGCAGATCAGTGGTATATTATTTGTCTTTATTATACATTCATCTGTTTTTCACAGTACTCAAGAGTAAACCCAGTGTCTCACACATGCCAGGCAAACACTATGCCGTTGGGTTCACTATTACATTTAAAAAGCAAAGTTTGATGTTTTCTTGAATGGAGTAATTTAGGTTTGTAATTAACTTTTAATTATTTGAACTATTGAGTAGTCTGTTCAAAGAAAAATCAACTTTTTGAATTGTATTTACTTTTGATTGTACATATGCACTGTGACGAGAGGACATGTGAGTCACAGCATGTAGCATGTGTGTGGAGGGTGGGATAAGTCTGTGCAGTCAGTTCTGTTCTCCACCTTTCCATGAGTTCAGGGTCCATTCCTCAGGGTGGTGGCTGCAGAATGCAAACACCTTCACCTGCTAAACCATCCTACCTGCCAAAGAAATAGATCTATAGGCAACTGAAGGTAAAATACAGAAATTTACAAATAATAAGGCCCAGTTTGAGTTTGTTTAATTTTATTAAATCTGTTCCTCACATTGATACTACTTTGCTTATCACCTATGTCAGAGTCAAGAATGGTACAAATAAGTATTCTTATGTTTGCTTGGCGTTTTTATTAAACTAGAAAGACTATGTCTGTACAGTGAAAAATAAAAAAGATATAAATTTGCCATGATTAAAACAGCCCAAATTGCAAAGTACACACTGCATACCAATGTCCTTTGCTCCATTCTTCCCACACTCTACTAAACTGACTTATATGAAACATGACAGCAGAGCCGGGCTTCAGGCCCTCTGGAGAGCAGAGCGCACTCACTTGACCCCTCATTCTTTCCTGATCTAACCAGTCTTCACACATACGAAAAACACTACTCTAGATGTTAAGTTGTGCAAATTTGGAACTGTTGTTTAAACTGGAGTTTATTCAATGCTATTTTCTCACATCATTTTTGGGCTCCAATTTTTGACCAATCTTTGTGAAGCCCTTTATGATTGCATATGTCTCAAATGTGGCCCGATGAGGAAGATTTTCCTAACATTGTTTGAAGAACATTTAGCTGGTTTTCTAAGCACATTTAACTTTGAAAATTTCCTCTGTGCATCTGCTAATTACATGAATTGATCATATGATTATAAATATTCTCCTGGCAGGAGTCAAAGAATTTACCCTCCATAGAAGCTGAGATGACACAATATAGACACAGTGTAACGTGATGAATCTGCCTGACTGTGCAGCTGAAGCATTTAGCTCCTCTGACTGCATCTTTAGAATTCTGAGTTGTTTCTATGTGTCTGTTTTTACATAATTTTAAGCAATATACACTAATAATAAGCAGACTATATACAGGTCTTTGTGAATGTAATTTGCCATGAAGTTTGCATTATGCATCTCTCAGGTAATCACATCATTTTTCAGAAATCACACAAGTAACACTATACTGGTTGAACAGGTTATATATAGGAACATATATATATCTATATATATATATGTATGTGTGTGTATAAATATATGGATGCAATAATAATTAATAAAAGAAGTCATGAATTTGAAGGAGAGCAGAGAGAGGTATATGGTATAGTTTGGAAAGAGGAAAAGGAGAGGAGAAATGTAATTATTATGATCTCAAACAATTGCAGAAAGCCTAAACGGGAGTAGTAGTATACTCCGAGTTTGGCTGGCTCCACATTTCGGAGGTAGTTCATAGACAGCTCCACTGGGTGGCAGCAATACAGTATTGAATGGGGAAAGTGAAGCCTGAGAGTCCAAACAGAAGCCAGTGCACAGAACTCACCATTGTTACCCTATGCATGACAATGTGTGGATCCTAACAGTCATAAAATCAGAATTCTTTATACACAATTAGGTAAAAACATATTAAAGAAAAACAAATACAGCAATGATACTTGTTTTGTACAGTATGCTATGGAAAATAGTTTTATCTTGAATATAATAACTTTTATACCCATGTTTCATTATAATGTGAAGACTATGTAAGATGCTAAGTTTTGAGTAATAAGTTTTTCTCAATTAAGTATACAATTTCAAAAATTATAAGATGACTTTTGATATACAGTTGGTAAACATATTATGTGCTGTCTCCATAAAACTAAGTACAAAAGAAGCATATTGGATATAATAGATTTTATAAATACCATGATGATAAGTCAGAATTATATATTCTCATAAATTATGCAAAGTTGAATTTGTAATTCTCAACATTTTAGGAACTACTGGGAGGAAATATTCAGGAAAAATGGTACTATCATACATGTCTGCGGCAAGGCAAAAAAAATAGTGCAGAAGCTTCACATTTATAATATGCAAATGACCCAAGCTACTAATGCAACTTAGATTTAAATCAGCAAGCACCAGGTAAAACAAAGAGTGGTGAGGCCACGAGAAGCTTAGAACGCTTAAAAATGATTAACTGTGACAGAATGTACCTCTCTCCTTCATCCTGAGCTGTGGGCACCACGTAGGCATCCGTGAAAGGCAGGTGAACTCACTCGGATCAAACAAATAAGGCACCAAGTCATTCCGCTGTTTGCTTTTTGAAGTTAAATGTTTATTTGCACTGCTTGAAAGATAGCATCAGTCAAAAGAACCCCACAGTAGGGTCTAAGTATAGTCTCCATGTTATTAGAAATATAAGTCACCCGGCCTAATTTCTTTACTTCTTTGCACTGAGCAGTATCTTATGGAAAGTATTTTACCGTAATTGTGTTGTGGGAACGGGAAGAACTAGACACAGCTGTGCTTTAATTGAATATGTGAGGCATGCCTTCTAACAGTATGAAGGACATGCCCAAGTGCAGATTCCTTCGTGCACACCAGCTAAACTGCATTATTACTCAGGGTGGTCAACCTTACAAAAATATTTCTGTTAGGATTAACTCAACTCTGTGGGTAGTAACATTTTGAAATATAAGGATAGCTTCCAAATGACCCAATTGAAAATACGAAGAAAATTAAGCACTGTTTTTTTTTCTGGGTTTGTTGTTGTTGTTGTATTTGTTTGTTTGTTTGTTTGTTTTTGTGAAGGGAGTGAGATCAGGCAAGAGGGAGAGGGCCTAAGCCTTTTCTGGGGCTGATTGTTATCTTTTTAGTTTGCACATACCTAGAATTCAGATGTGAGCCAGGTATCAATGTAGAGGACTTGAAATTGGAGGCAGGACCAAGGCACATAGGAGACCAGACTGGGTTACATAGCATGATCCTGTCTCCAAATGAACACGGCAAACAGATGTGTCCACCAAAAGACCTCATTCATTCCTAGCTGTGGCAAACCTGGATGTGCCTGGGAGGCGGAAATGAAAGGAGTCCTCAGGGGCTTGGTGGACAGCCAGTCCAGCCAAACAGTGAGCCTCAGGGTCAGGGAGAGACCTCCATTCCCCAAACTAAGGTGGAAACCTGAAGAAGACACTTGGTGCCAACCTCTGGCCTCCACAAGTGTGCACACAGTGCATGGTACAGCCTGCCCCCAGGCACTCACAGTGGCCACTCCATATGAAGTACTGAAAAACAAACAAACATACAAAAAATCATAGCAGCTTAAATATCTACCCTGGTCAGCCACCTTTCCCAGTAAGTCCATGATACTAGAGCACAACCCTAAGTATTACCACAATTTGAAATGGACTCGCCTCCAGTCACCGCAGGTGTAACGAGCTCTTAGATTCTTTTGCATTGCCAATTACCTTTGTGATAGAGAGATGTCTTTGCTGTGATTGGATAGCTAGGTGAGATGTTTAATCAGGCGGGAAGGGGGAGTTGAGTTGCTCCTGCAGGAGGCACTTTCTACAAAGGAGACCACAGTCAGTGTCCTGGTACCGAGCTTGGAGACTTGATGCAGGACACCATGGTGCTGATTCCTCTGTGGCAGCTGGAAACTCTGGTTTCCATTTTGTGCCTCCTCAAATCCTTTACAGGCCTCGAGGTTTGTCTTGCTTTTTTCATTTCACTGCCTGAATGTGATTTTATTTGTTTCTGCTTCAGCAATTTTGCTTTGCTGTTTAGTTGAATTTGACACAACCAATTTTTCAATTTATTAGGTCCGTGTGTTTACGTTTTCTGTTGGTCAACATAATTATGACAGAGGACCTATTCAGTGGATGGCTTGTGAGAATAAAGGTAATATATATGTTTCACTTGAGCATGTTTTATTAGAAGATAAAATACTTTGATAATTATTGTTAGGTCTTTACTCACACTTAAAATAATGTGAAGTAGTAACTTTAAAAGGTAGGGAATACAGATTAGATTCTGAACTTGCTTTCTAGGAAAGAAAAAGCACAACAAGCTGAGATTGGCAGTGCATTAGAATGTACTCAAATATCTGAACCTGAACCTGTGAACTGATGAAAGGCTGCATGAGACCTAATGATGTAGAGCAGATTTGTGCATATTTTTCTCTAAATGACTGAATTACTGTTTTTGAAAACAATCTCATACTTTTCCTCAATATTCAAATTTCATGCAGTGAACTATTTCCTTTGTACTCAGAAAAAAAGAAAGTCTTTTGAAGAATAAATGTTACATTATAGCAGAAAAGAGAACCTGCATGCATTCCAAAACCTACGTTTAGGAAAACATATGCATATGAGAATTATGTTTGTATCTGTACCTTTAATAGTTGATCTAGTGAAAAAGAGTTTAATAGCTCTAGTTTCCTTACGGCTTTGTAGAGGACAACAGTTATTTTATACTACCTAAGACACTCAGTAAAATTTATCATAAATTCTCAAAAGTTGTTGACAATATTCACTAATCAATATTTTTCTCAATTTAACATTTGTATTTATAGTTTAATACAAATCTTTATATTATTTATTTACTTACTCAAGTTAGAAGGAAAATTACATTTTCCTCCTATTAAAAAACATAAGGCAATTTTTGTTGATTTATAAGTGTAATATTTATAATTTATAATATGTATATACATTTTAGGTTATTATTATGAAATTCCCTCCATTGGAGCAATAAGAATCAACACTCAGGTATGGTTGTCTAAAAATACTTAAATTTTTTTTCAAAGTTTAAGATTACTTTCCTGGAAATAAAAATATATTTTCCTAGCTTAACTAGTTCAATCTAAAGAAAATAATTAAATGTAGAAAAAAAGATATATATAACTTTTTTTGTATACAATGCTGGCTAATGTGGTATTTATTGGTTTTATAATCTTAAACATCTAAAACTTAGGTAAACATATATCTATAATTATGAGCTTGTTATTCTTGGAAATTAAAAAGGTCATAGAAAATGAGTAATATAAAATTTATTAATAATCTCATGAAATTTTTCTCAACTTTAAGTCACATGACTTTCTCAGCCATATAAAACACTAAACAGTAATTATTATGGGCGAGTGATGTAAGCCCTACATAGGACTTGAGTTTTCCCACAGATTCCTACAGGTCTATTTACATATTTATTTAATTAAAGCTACAATAAGATGACTTTTTAACACCATTCCTTTGAGGGGGGAGCATACTCTTTGCATAACATTTTGTAGAATTCAGCTATTTTAATTTAAATATTTTTCGTTTTGAAATGTTCATGAATTACGATTTAAAGATCTTTGCTCAATTTGAACCACTAGCAATAATGTACAAAATAGCTGTGAAAATTGACCGTGAATAGCAGGGCTTCCGTGGAAGTGCACGCTGACCACGCTGCATGTTGAGATGAAACAGCACTGAATGTAAGGCTCATGTCTGCATTTGGCACAGAGTTCAGTTACTTTTTGATATGTTTAAATGCAATTTTGAATTTCATCCAAACAATCTGTTATGTGAAAGCAAGTATGTGGCTGCTTTATCATTTCAAATTTATGCAATTTCACACATAAATCATGGAGCCTTAAATAGTTTAGATCAACATGAAGCAATTCATAATGAACATATTTCACTTATCACTGGCTGTACTTTAAGGAACAATGTTCTGATTAGTACTACAAAAAAAGCTGGAGAAGATAAATTCTATAAATAGGTGTTATTGATCCAATGTATATGAACATACCATTTAAGAAATAAGATCAAAATTATGGAATTCCCCAAGTAGGACATACATGCATACTCTTAATAATTTGGTTCCATGTTCATTTTCAGTCTTTAACTTTTCCGTTTGAAGGTTATTTTTAAACATAGTATCTCTGGTTTCTTGTTCTTTTTGTCAATGTTTTACCACCTTTCTGTTGTATACATAGGAATATCTAGACGTTCTGGGAAGACCCATGGTTTTAGCAGGAGACAAAGCAAAGCAAGTCCAGTGGACAAACGTGTATTTGGATGCGCTGGTAAGAGTTTGCCTTCTCAGCCCGAAGCTGTCCTAGCAGGAACGCCGAGCTGACCTTTCTTCTCCCAGCGACCTTTCCCTTCTACTCTTCTCTGAATCCTTTCCAAAATTCATTCCTTTGCAAATTTCTCAGCTAGGTCTTGGAAAGTGTTTAGAAAATCCTAGATTTGCATTAGTGTAAAGTCGTACATGTAAAGGTATAGGCTATTCTTGATCCACCCAAAAAGAACAGTTTTCTAACTTAGAATGTAGAGTATATGGGAATTTCAGTAACTTTTTTGATATTTTAATAAAAGGAAATAATGCTGAATGTCATGTGAGTAGTAACCAAGTACTCCATATTTTGAACAGATATTTTGAAACACATATTTTTAAATTTTTAAACATCCGTCGGTTGTTAACTGTATGTACAACACATTCCACCATTGCAACCAGACTTCTGCAAACTCAAAAGTTTGTGCATTCACTTAGAGCTATCAAACTCTGACACCATGTTTAAATCAGCATGGGCATAATCACCTTCATATAGACTCTCGGCTTTAAGTTCCGACTTAGACATTCTTATGGAAGCATTACATCCAGGTGACCAAATCTGCTGTGAGGAAATACAGGTATAGCAGGTTCTCTATAGTGCCACTGGCACCTTACCACAAGCACCCATCATGTGTTAAGCAGTAATTTCCAACTGCTTTTTCCTTCATATTTGGATATGTATGAAGACATTTTTGTCAAGCACAGAGTGGTGAAGAGCTTCCACTGGCGTATAACAGATAGTACCCTAGACTGGTGTTAAACATCCCAAATACATCAACTGGCCCCGTTTACCACAAAGCACAAAATTATCTGGCCCAACTTGTCAATATGGGAAAAGCTGAGAAATCCTGTTTTAATTTATTTTTACTTTATGATACAGTTATTAAAACTTAATAATACCTAAGATTGTTTCATATTCCAAATCTGAATGTAAGGACTTTTAGGTCATTTACCAAAGATTTACCGTCTCCTGGAGAGTCTAAACGCAAAGCTAAGAATAAACGCTGATGCAGTAATGAATGCCCTTTGTCCTACTCGGAGCCCAGTGAAATGCCTTTTGCTGCTTCTCTGAGTGCAATGATGAACCGAAGAGCAAAATACAACCCGTTAGGATGACTTATCACTTGGTACTTACAAAATAAACACATACAGGAAGTTAGAGGAAAAGTAGGGACTATTAACAGCAGTCTCGCATGCTAAGAGCGATAAAGGGAAGTTTGCTTACCTCAAGCCCCAGAAAATGACTGTGAGTGTTCCCTCTTGACGTTACTTATTTACTTAAGGTCACATGGTCATCTTTAGCCATGACCAAGATGTTTCAGTTGTTCAAATCCATCACAGGATTGCACATGATAGGAGTCAATAGTTAGGCCCTGCTGAATTTCCTATGACCAGAAGTTCATTAACCAGAGTGTCTGCATTGCTGGCAAGGTTCTCACTGATAACACAAATAACACTGGGAGGAAATGCTGATTGTAAATGTTCTACTTTACAAGCTGAAACAAGATGTTAAAAAAAAAAAACTTTCTACGTAAGTTAGATGGTCAGAGGACACAGAGAGCATTCTTTTTACTGATTTGAAAATAAATGACCCATCACTTAGAACCACTGCATGCATGGGGTTCAGAATGCACGTCAGTCAAATCAGCAGTTTATTAGGAAGGGAACATACAGTATTTCAAGAACAAATTTGATAACTACTGTGACATGAAGAATTTGAAGAGCTTTGGCACTTTAAAAGAAAGAGGTTATATAATTGCAGCAGGGAGCAGTTAAAAAATGGAGACATTTTAGCTGAGTGTAAGAACAAGCCATGTTTCTACAATTCATGGGAAGGGTGAACCACATAAAGCCATACATTAGCAAATTTAGGGGCACTGGGTTCACTGAAGAAATAATACAAACACCGGCTCACCTTTAGAGAGTCTGGGTAGAGGAAAGAAACAGGACTAGTGCGATGTCATAGAGAGACTGTTTCCTTTGGAAGATGAAGCAAGGCTCTTTATAGATAAAGGCAGACAGGAAGAGTTGCTATGTTTAAGATAAGTACCACCCTGAAAGACACAGGGATCGCCCAATGACAGAGAAATGGAATGAGATCTACATGAACAGCCTGGACATGAGTGGGGGTAATGAAAGGCGAGGGTCGAGGGAAAGAGAGCTTGGGGGAGCGGGAGATCCCAGCTGGATCAACAACAGAGAGGGAGAACAAGGAATAGGAGACCATGGTAAATGAAGACCACATGAGAACAGGAAGAAGCAAAGTGCTAGAGAGGCCCACAGAAATCCACAAAGATACCCACACAACAGACTGCCGGCAATGGTCGAGAGACAGCCAGAACTGACCTACTCTGGTGATGGGATGGCCAAACACCCTAATTGTTGTGCTAGAAACCTCATCCAACTACTGAGGGATCTGGATGCAGAGATCCATGACTAGGCCCTGGGTGGAGCTCTGGGAGTCCAATCAACGAGAATGAGGAGGGTTTATATGAGCGAGAATTGTTGAGACCAAGGTTGGATAAAGCACAGGGACAAATAGCCAAATGAATGGAAACACATGAACTATGAACCAATGGCTGAGGGGTCCACACTGGATCAGGCCCTCCGAATGGGTGAGACAGTTGATTGGCTTGATCTGTTTGGGAGGCATCCAGGCAGTGGGACCAGATCTTGTGCTCATTGCATGAGTCGGCTGTTTGAAACCTGGGGCCTATGCAGGATTGTTTGGCTTGGCCTGGGAGGAGGGTACTAGACCTACCTGGACTGAGTCTACCAGGTTGACCTCAGTCTGTGGGGAAGGCTTTGCCCTGGAGGAGATGGGAATGGGGGGGTGGGGGCGTTGGGGGGAAGGTGAGGGGGACGGGAGGGGGGGAGAACAAGGGAATCCGTGACTGATATGTAGAACTGAATTGTATTGCAAAATAAATTAAAATAAATTTAAAAAAAAAAAAAAAAAAAAAAAAAAGAAAAAAAAAAAAAAAGATAAGTACCACAGTCCAGGAGGCGAGACCCTTATGTTTTCATTCTAGTCTGTGGAAAGCGTGCACAGTGCCTGGAACAAAGAATATCCTTGGAGTCTAGTTTAAGATAGCCTTCATTTGGAGGCTACAAAAACAAAATCTAAACATCACAGTACTCACCTAGACTATTCTACAAAGGCACCATCAATAGCATGTTTCTTCTATGTACCGCAACATTCAGCTAGACATTTGTGATATGGCATGACACTTTTGATTTAGGGCTTAAAATTGTGAATGAAGCTACAGAAAATAGCTTTCAGCAAATCTAAAGTACTATTTAAATGACAGTCCTCTTGTGGAGGCACCTGGTATTAAATAAATTATCACTGTGGAAGAAATGTAAATATGAGCAGAGTTACTGGAATGTTACAGTTACATTTATGTACGTTGGCCTTATTTTATTCACAATTCTTATTCAATGTTGCAAAACTGCTTAATAAGTATTATTTCTAAGAAATTTTCATTGATTTTTTTTTAAAATTCCCTTTATAGAGAATCTAAATTAGTTGTTAAGGTTTGTGACTCTTTACAAGATAAGTACAAAGTGAAGTTTCCAGTTTCAAAGGCTGATTCAGTAGGACAAAGTTCAAAATGTCACTTTCATTGGCCTTTTCTCTCCGTCTATTTTTAGGAGCTGGGACTTGTCATTACTGGAACTCTGCCTGTCTTCAATGTCACTGGCCAATCTGAAAATAAGACAAACTTGAAGGTTAAAAGTTAATTGATAAAATTAATAACAATACATGATAAACTATGACGTTGAAACTCCATGTGGATAAGATATTTCTATAAGGAGATACCTAAGATGTAATTGTCCTGTGAGGCTAGGGGCCACTGGTAACAGCTGTCCACATGATAACCACCTGGGGAAAGGGAACTGAAGGTCAATCCTTGTGGCCCGAGAGTCGGAACTCGGCTTCACTTGGTCTAACTGTGACCTGATGAGAAAGTCAGGAAGTCAGACTGCAAGGAACACCATGATAAACGCACAATAGCATCACGAGGAGCCCACGTTTTAAAATGTGCTTGAGACATTCGTGTGATTCAGGGGGAAAAGAGACTAACCAAAGCCATGGTTATCTTTGAATCAGGTGCAGAAATATATGTTTATTGAATCCTTGCTTTCAAATTCCCAAGTAATAGCTTTTTTATAATAACCTATGGATCTAATCAGTATCTTGCTCTATTTTTTACAATACAATGAAAAATTAGTTTCATTAAAATATTCAATTTTTATAGTTTTGGTAATATCAATACAAGAAGCTATCTACTTGAAAGTTGTAACTGATTGTTAAAGGCAATTCATATATATATTATGTTTATTATTTATTAAATACTTTTGACTTGAAAATAGAATTGCATAGTTAAGAATGAATGTAAGACTATAGAAATTATTTTTAATACTAAAGGCTTATAATGCAGGTGCTATTGGTGGATTAAAAGAATATTAACTTCTGGTTTGTAATTCAGTGAGGTTTGTTGCACTTGAGTACTGTTGTTTAAGTTTTACAAATTTCAGTGAAGTGCCTCATCTTAGCAAGGGAGTTCTACAAAGCCCTGGGTCTCACTTTTAAGGGCCATTGACAAATTAAATACTTGTGAGGTCTAAATATTGAAGTTCAAAGCAGTGTAATCCTCTATGTCTTTCCTTCTCATGTTTTAAAATTCTTAGTATGGCCTATCCATCAGATTGTTTTTCATTTACTGGTTTTATTCAGTCTAGGATTGGTTCATAGCAACAGACCATAGTTATTGACCCAACTATTTTCTTTAATAAAATTTTCATACCTTTTATGATTTAGGTTTAGTCATTAATATTTCATCTAAGTTAAGTAATTGGGATGATAAAGTTGTGGAAAACAGTGAAAGCTAAGAGTCCTTGTAAATTGACACCAATAGAACCCCCGTGTGTGTGTGTGTGTGTGTGTGTGTGTGTGTGTGTGTGTGTGTGTGTGTGTGTTCTGTGTTTGCACTAATGTGGAACTCATTCATTACCATAATAAAAGGGTACATTTTGTAGAAACAGTTTCTGGTAGAAAATGCACTAACTTTGCCATCCTCTTTTAGAACCAGTTGATTCTCGGTGTGATGGGCGTGGATGTGTCTCTGGACGATATTAAGAGATTGACACCACGCTTCACAGTAAGATGCCGTCTATCCTTTGACTACACTTCCTCTTTCCAAACTATGGACCAGTACAGTTCGTCCATAAAGCTCTTGAGCATGAGATACATGGGGTTAATCGAGCAAAAGAGGTTAAGGTTAAAAAGCTTTTTTAAAATATGAAGACACTAGGTTTGTTCCTTCTGTGCTCCAAGACTTGTACCGAGTAACTGTTAAAATGTTTAACGTGGGTTCTGGTTGTGCCTGAGGAATCTCTAAGCTGGTTTCTCCTTTCCAGCTGTGCCCCAATGGCTACTATTTTGCCATCGATCCCAATGGTTACGTCTTATTGCATCCAAATCTTCAGCCAAAGGTATGTATATAATTTGTTTATCATTACTAGTGTCTGGTATAATTACTGACTAACAATAATGGGATTGTAGCTTGGAAATCTCTTTGTAACATTACAGATAAAAGAACAGTGCCCTGTGCCTCCCTTAAGAGAGGGCAAGGCCACTGATGACAACCTATGAAAATCTGAAAGCGTTCTTCATTTTCTCTTACCAAGTTATCTTAACTACTATTCTTCTCTCAGACAGCCATTATCACCTTTTGAATCTCGTTTTCATGCATCTCACTTGCAACTTTAAGGCTCAAAGAGGGCATTGCTCCGGAGAATATATGATAAATAGAAAGGGCCAGTGTAGTAATGGAGGTCTGGAACTGTCAATGTTAACCTAATTCTTTCATCAGCTATCCATGTATGTATTTGAAAGTAAGTTCTAGCTCCAGTGACCATTATTATTGAACAAGTTGAACTAATGACACATGCAAATGTTAGGATTTAACCAGGTCAATGTCACATGATTTCTTCCTGGCACTATAGTATTATCACAAAATATTTCAGTATAATTTTGTAATGTGTAGACAGCTCTGCAGGGATGGTCCAAAACATCAGTAAACTAGTCACAAATCTTTTGTGCATTTTTTCTCTATGGAATAGTCATTTTTTTTCAAAATATGTCGCTCCATGACCACATTTTAACAAATAATGAATTATCTATCCTGATTTTTCCTCCATAGGTTTTTATTTCTTACATTAAAAGAACCAGATTAGCTTATTAGATTTACTATTTTGATAAATTCTGATAAATGCTAAGTATATAGAAAATTGTGTGTAATTGATGTCTTAGAAATCAATATTCAAAATAAATCTGGTGCTATGGTTGAATTCTCCTTTAATTAATAGATACCACTAACTTCATTCTTTTAGATGACAAAGGGTCAAATTTCAAATGTTCATGATTTCATAATACCCTATTATGTTTATTACAGTCTATTCAGACTGCTATGGTAACTTTTTAAAAAAATGCAAAGACTGGTATGTTCCTAAACAATGAAACTTTTTGCACCTTTTTTAAGGAGGTAAGGAGTGCAGGACTAAAGCATGAGTGGATCAGTGTATGTTCCTCCTTGGCAGACAGCTTTTCCCTCTAACCGCAATGGCAGAGGGGCCAAGGGCGCAAAGGATCTCTTTGGTTTCCCTTACGGAGGTACTAACCCCATTGTAAGCTGTTGCCGCCATTGCCTAGCTACCTCTAAAAGGCCCAACCTTCATTTACGAATTTATCACCAAGGCAGGATTGCTACAGTAGGATTTCCAGGGGCCATTTCCAATTTTTTATTTTATGTATTTGTATCATGTACATTTCAACAATTTTTATTTTTTAATCTTTTTTTTTTATTGCAGCCAAGACAATTTATCCAGGACAAACTATCTCTCCCACTCTTCAATTTTTATATTCTTAAGGAAAATCCAGGACAAAAATGAACAGTTTCTTTAAAAAAAAAATGACTTTACTACCATTAATAGTTTCGGGTTTGTTGCTGTCTTGTTTTGTTTTGTTGTCATGGACTCTATGATACAAATATTTGGAGCCGTGAATACATCATTTGTTCTGTTTCTTGTCAAGGAAATGGCTGCCTAAAATTGACTGCAGGATAGAGTTCTTATAATGGTGATGTGTAGGATAATGAGCTACTCTTTCTCTGTTGCTTCAGCCTATTGGTGTAGGCATACCAACAATTAACTTAAGAAAAAGGAGACCCAACGTTCAGGTAACTGTGAATGAGGTAGACAGCCGCGCTTTCAAATTGGCTAAATCAGGTTGAGATCAAGCTTCTATTCTCAAAGCTTCTAAGAGCAAGCGCCTTTCCTGACGCCAGGCTTCCAGAGCATGAGGCAAAAATGAACTTCTCTTCTCAGTGAGCTGGGGCAAAGTGTGCTAATTATGGTAAAGAGTGTGCACTGGCTGAAAGATGGCAAAGGAAATGGATCTAATAATAATGTTAATCAGAATAATCAGAATGAAATGGCTCCTGAAGAGATTTGTTATTAAATTGGTGAAATTAATATCATATCTATATTTTCCTAACAGTTTGCTTGTGAAATTGATTTCTTAGTGCAAATAAAGTCATGATTCCTATGTTGTGATTTCCATAAATAAGAATTTTTAGCCAAATTGTTTTGTTTTGTCTTTTTAATTTCTAAAAGTGGAATTTTGGGTGCTGGAGAGACAGCAAGGTGGTTAAGAGCACTAGCTGCTCTTCTAGGTGACCGGGGTGTAAGTCCCAGGACCACATTGTGGCTCACAGCCATCAGCAATTCCAGCTCTGGTTTCTGTGGGCAATGTGCTCATATAGTCCTTAGGCACACATCACTTACAGATACATGTAGGAGGAAGGCATTCACCATAAGAGGATATTTCTAGAACTTATTCAGAGAGACCCACAATGTTAGAAAAATATTTAAAATCATTGTAGATTTCTGTGTAAGCCTATTATTTCCTTTAAAACACATGGTAGTGTTTATCTGGAGAGACAGCATGGTGTTAAGTGATCTTTAAGTACGGACAGTGGGACTGAGTTATAATCTGGTCCTGTTGTCGCCAGCACTTTCTCTTTGAGCAGTACACCGCTCTTTTCATCTGTCAAGCAGTGAGTTATACCAATTTTCATCTGTACTCCACTTGGGAAACATACGTATTGATGCTATGTTCCACCCTTGAAAATTCTCATTGTAAGCTTCCCCATCTGTCAAAAGTGTAGTGATTTGAACTAGTGAAGCTTTAGTTCTCTCACAGAGCTAGAACTCTGCTGTAATCTGAGTCTTGTGTTGCATCATCTTAAAGTCTTAGGACCATTTTTGGTCCCTGTAGAGGTTACGATGATGTATATGCCTTTCTCAACTAGGAAAATATTTTGTTTTTCTGTTTGCATGTTACTTTTGTAATACCTTAAATTATAATTTTTGTTATCAGGTGCATTTTGGTGAATTTTATTTTTACCACAATACCAAATATTGCATGTAAATATTAAGTAATTAAAAATAAGCAACCTTAATAATGATTTTCTTTTATTCTATGCAAACTCTAAATGGCAAACTAGCAGCCACATAAGACTTCTTAATTGGGGGAAATGTTTTTGAAATCTGAGGCATTATATTAATACTTACTCACAATTGTTACAAATTTAAATTTTGTTAACATCACATACTGCCCTTAATAACTATGCTAGCTGAAATTCATGCTGATGAGATATTCTAGATACTTAATTTTTCTTTGTGTGGGATTTCAGAGACCATGAGACTAAATAGATTTCTTCAGCCCAGGTTGCTGTTTTCTTGTTAGAAGACTTTTTTTTTTCAATTTTCTAGTTCTTATAAAAGCGAAGGATCTTTCTAAAACAATGTTTTGCTCGGTTGCCATTTATAAATACAAGTGATGCATTGACAATTTCTTTTATGATTTCATTTTCTTCTCTGTCTTTATATGTTGGATTGGGACATGATCTGCATATTGCCAATTCCTCCTGATAATGGCTCCCCCCTGCATGCTGTTTGGGGCTGGTCATGCTATGCATTATCCATTGCATGTAAGAGACATATTCCTACTTCTGATTTCATTTTACCATTTGATTGTCTTGAGTTTGTTTTGCATTGGTTTCCATCTTAATTTGAATGTTTATACAGTAGTGTTTGTAGAACATTTGTTGTGTCTTTTTGTTAGGAAAGTTGCAAGTTTCGTGGAGTAAAGAAAATTCTCAATATTGACTTTTATTTCCATGTTGCATCTACATTTCAAAGAAATGTTTGCTCCCAGAACAAAAGCTGTTCAAACAATAGTGTATTGTGTTGAAAAACCCAATACTTTCTTTCAGTAGTATAGAAACTCTGATTATACAGAGTTCTAAAGAAATGAATATTTTCTCAATTATAAAAGGCAAGGTTGGGTACTGGGTCTCAGGGGTAGAGTGCTTGCTGAGCCAACATGAGGTCCTGGACTCAGTCCTCTGCTTCCTTACCCCTACAAAAGATGCAGGGAGAGTATTTTACAAATTGCCATTTGAAGAGTTCTTATTCATCAAACATCATGAAGAGCTGAAATTCTGATTTTTAAAAATATGAATATTCCCTGAAATGAGGAATTTTTCATGATTATAAAATAAATATATTCCGTGTGTCGTATATCGTGTCATTCTTCATCTAAACAAGGTACACTAATTGGACAGATTCTTGTCTGCTTCTAGTGTGGGAGGAGGCATATCCCTTTAGCATGGTGTTTGAAACAGTGGCAAGCTCTTGGTAAAATCCCTGTGACACTTGCAAGTAACCAAACATAGGCTGCATTGATTACTAGTATCTAATTTTGGCCAGATTTGAATGATACTTTTTAACAAATTTTTTAATTTCTGTCTTCTGAAGTTTTTAATCATTTTGAAATCTTTTAAGTAGAATCTTTTATTCTACTAAGTGTTAGAACTCTAATATGACATGCTAGATGATGTAGCAAGAATTATAAGGAAACAGGTATTTGTCTATCCACTTGTCTATGGCCTCATTTAATGTTTGAGAAATTAGAATCACACCAAATGAGGTGAATTTAGCAGGCTAATAGCAGCCACTGAGATGTAAATAAATACTGTTGTGTTCCACAGTGGGCTCCCTTACACACCACTAGAACAGGCAGTGGATGTTAGCATGGGAAAGAGTGTTTAGGAACTCACGGGTTCTGTTCCCAGCCCCTTGCTGCCTTCAGTTGATAACTGATGACAATTGTCTGTTGCACTTAAAACTCAATGCCTAGCTCTGAGAGAGGGTAAGTAACTTATAGAATCCATTCATACTGAATGCTCTTCAAGCTATTCTGTGCACAGCGATGCCTTCTAATGTCGTATGTCCTTAATTATTGTCTTCTGTGTAGAACCCCAAATCTCAGGAGCCAGTCACACTGGATTTCCTCGATGCAGAGTTAGAGAATGACATTAAAGTGGAGGTGAGTGAGAGTGTGTGTAGTGGGACGAAGCTGTGCAGACACATGGCCTGAGCCTGTGTTCCCCATCCCACAAACCATTTTTGAGCAATGGTTTATGTCTGGCTGTCTCCAACCCACACTGGTGTGTTCTTTCTCATTAAAGTTCCTGGGCTGTCTTCTTCCAGTAACTCATCCTGGTAAAGAATGGATATTTCAGGTTAAGTGTGGCCTTACATGTTTTCCGTTGCCTTGCTCACTCCAAAGGGAGAGTGATTTTAAATGTGCAGAAATTACAATAATTTTAATAGAATTTGTAGAGACAGACGTGCTATGCAGTTGAAAGAGAAGTTGGAAGGATTCCAGCCACCCATCTACATGAAGAACATGTGAGGAGAGCAGCTGCCATGTTTGTCTGAGGATACTTAACATGTTTCTGTTTTACTTCAGTGACAAAGTCACATGCCACTTCTTCTGCCGGGGTGGTTCATAATAGTAACGATAGTTATTTAATTGAAAAAATAGAAATGATTAAGTTGATCATTACTCTCGAGTGTGGCATAGTGAGAGCTGGAACATGTTAGGTGATTTCTTTAAACCTTTTGTTATCTTAACGGTAGAGTGATGATGAGATTGAGGTCTGGTTTCAGTCCCACTGAGTCACCGTTTAGTCTCTCAAAGCCTGCTTCCCCTCAGTGTATTGACTGAGTGACATGGTATATGAAGAAGGGCTAAGAAAAAGATCTCGTACATAGTAAAGTTGGGTTATTTTTTAACGCTTCTTACTTTTTGACTTCAAACTGAACATACTTGAAGTAAGTTCGATTCCTCCTGTAGTTTGCAGATTTCTTTGTCTGGTCTCACCGATTTGTCCACTCACTGATAGTTATTAAAGCCCAAATGTAACATGCTGGAAATATATAAAGTGAAAATCAAGTAGAAAGAAATTCTGAGAGTTTCCAGTAGACTGGAGCATTTGTCCTATAAGTTTGGCCTGGCTCTACTTTTGAGGAGTTAGGAAGTTGTTAGGAAGAGGGCTGCACTAGGAAAAGTGAAATCCTAATAGGTCCTTATGATTCCCGATCTATTCTTATGCCATTCTTCAGAACTGCTGCATAGGACAATTCAAAGTAAATTATAAGGGGCAAGCCAGATGTGGGGCTTTGTAATCCCAGTACTCTGGAGACAGGGGCCTAAGAACCCTGCAAGTTTGACTTCAGTCTAGTCTATGAAGTGAGTCCCAGGTTTGCAGAGTGAGGCCTGGTCTGGAAAACTAACAAGCAACATTGGCAAAATATCAAGGACAATTTTAAACCCTTCTAGCCAAGAACTGGTTATTTAGGTGAGGCAGGAATCTGAAATCGACCACATTACTGTTAGCTCTGTGAGTATACATACATTTTTACTTCACAGTATCTGCTTCCCACTGAAATGACAGAAGCTTAAAGAAAATTGTGACTCCATTACTGTCATGCTTCAAAATTTACTGATTAATGAAAAATTCAATAAGCACATTTTGTTATTGCTCAGTAATGTAAAATGGCTACAATGTGGCAGCATAAAAACCCCAAATAATCTCATGTGCTAGTGCAGCCGCATTGCCATTCTGTTTCGTTTCCTTGAAATAAGGGAAACCTTGAAATAAAAGGCTTCATAGTCTTCAGGAGGTCAGTTTGTTTCCTGGAATAAAGTAATTGCTTCGTTTTCTCTTAGATTCGAAATAAAATGATAGATGGAGAAAGTGGAGAAAAAACGTTCAGAACTCTGGTCAAATCTCAAGATGAGGTAAGAATTGATGAAGGCTTGTCCTCGAGTGGAAGCATGCAGTAAGAATAACGATGCTATGGCTTGGCGTTCCTTACGACATCTATTCATGGAACAGGGATGGATCTACTGGACAGGCTTTTTTTTCTTACATAGCAAACAATATGATCTCACTAGAGAAATGGCTCAGCAATGTAAGAGTGCTTGCTGTTTAATATTGAGATCTGGAGTTCAGATCCCAACCTCCATGTTGGCAGGCTCTGTGGTACCTGTCACCCCAGTTCCAAGAGCTCTGGTGCCCTCTCCTGAATTCTGCAGGCACCTGCACACATGTGCATATGCACTCACACAGAAACACATGCACACACACACTTCAAGAAATAAATACAAACTTGTGAAAACTAAAATCCTAAAATTGCACTTTGTGTCTACATGGTTTATTACAAGAAATAGATCTCTTTGGGCCAGGGATGTGGTAATATTTGATTTAAGGTAATATCACATGTTATATTGTATTATTTGTGTACAAAGATGTCCTAGAGATTGTATTCTGTGTGTTTTATCTATTTTCACTACTTAAAACCTCTGTGCCCATGGTTCTCTACCTTCCTGATGCTGAAACCCTTTAATACACTTGTGGTGACAACCAACCATAAAATTATTTCATTGCTGCTTCATACCTGTAATTTTGCTACTATTATGAACTGTAATGTAAATATCTTATATGCAGGATATCTGATTAGTGACCCCGAGGGGGTCGCAGCTCACAGGTTGAGAACCACTGCTCTATACCCTTTGTAATTTTCCTACATTTAAATCTGAAAACAAGTCATGTGATAACACAGCTACCCTCATTATTCGCTGGTATATATAATAAGTTAATATTGCTTCAGGTCTGAGTGGAAGAGTTTTGGGTATGTGGGGATACTCTTCTATCCATTATCAGTCATTTGTAGACTAAAAACAGACATTCGCATGTTTGAATGTTCAAAATGACATAGGATTGGGACGTTTTGTGCCTGTAATGTAACTGCAGCTTTCACATACAACTTGTATTCTTTACTCAGAAGCCTGTCAGGTTGTAGGAGCATCTTTTCTCCCTAATTTCTTGGTAGCTCTTCCCCCAACAGGGACATATGATCTAAATATTTTTAATAGCACACATCATTTCTTATTTTGATATAATTATGAGTAGCTATTGCCAGAACAGAAAAGGAGGTATTAAATTTTTCATTTTTATTGAAATATCGCTCCAGTTGCTTCTCTTTAGCCATGGTCTTGACTCTTTGCTCCCTAAAGCAAGGATGTAAAGTATTTAACAGTTCTGCCAACTCCTCGTGTTGTTCCGGGAACTCTGACCCTCACATTCTTTATGCGGCTCTCCTCTCATTTTCACGTTGCTAATTGCCCTCTTCCAAGTCACTGTCCATTCAGTCTTCGAGCAGTGTTCCCCTCCCCTCGCATCTGGATCTACCACCTTTCTGCCTTTCATTAGATAACAAACAGGCTTCTGAGGATTATAATAAAATAATAAAATATAATATAACACAATAAGAGCAAACAAAAACAGATTTTAAGATGATATCATTAAGAACATTAGATCTGTTTTTACTTTATGTAAAGTTTGGCAGGAATATTTAAGTTATGATAATAACTTTTAAATGAAAATGTTTTAATTTAGTTTTCCTCAGAGTATCAGAAGTCCTCAGACATAAGTCAGGGAATGGCGAAGCCCATTATTTCTTGTAAGAAATCATTTGGCTTTTCTTTGCACCATTTTTTACACCTGTGAGATGGAGAAGTTGAATATTAACACGTATCAGCACTGGGTGGCAGGTCATTTTATTTCCAAGCATGTGAACTATTTTCTACAGAGCATCTCCTCACATGGGCTTTACTGAATATTTTTCACAACATCTGCTTCAAATTGATTTGTAGAAATTTTTCATAGTCATCTCTTTCAGGAATACAGTTGTTCTTTAATAAGGCAAATATTCAGAGTAAAAACTAAAAGCTACATGTGTGCAATTAATATACTTAGTAGGAGAAAGAATGAGTCTGCATTTACTGTTGTTCTCGACACAGAAGATATTGTACATCCATGAACTATTTATTTAATTTTTCACTTTGCCTAGCGAATATAGGTTTTTTTCTAACCTTCAATGATGGAGTAATTATCTATTTATAACAACATGATAGTGATAGTTCCATTAAAAAGATCTGTAAGATGATAATTGTACTTCTAGATGTAGAAATGCTAGTGTATTTTCCTCCTCATATTAGCTATCGTTCTTAAACAAGCTCAACTATGGCTGATATCTGAGCCTTATCTAATATTCTATAGTCCCACGTCATTAAATTTTGCTTTAATTAGCAGGGTGGTGGTGGTGCACACCTTTAATCCCAACACTTGGGAAGTGAGTTCAAGGCCAGCCTGGTCTACAAAGCAAGTTCCAGGATAGCTAGGACTGTTGCACAGAGAAACCCTGTCTCAAAAGAAAAAATTTTTAATTTGTTTTAATTAAATATTTCAGAGTTTTGAAGAAAGTACTCTGTTACCAAATGCTAAGCTTTTATGCTTATAAATCCCTAACCTGTATCATTTGAGTATTTGATTCTGTTCCAAACTTTTATTTGACAAGCATGCACATCAAAATTTTAAAAATGTATAATAGAAATATATTTGCTTATGAAAAAGGATGTTGAGTGACCATAAAATTTCCAGGTGGACATTATGTTTTTACTCTTCTATAAATGCATATGGGTGGGGCGTTGTAATGACCATGTCTAACTTTCTTTCTAGAGATATATTGACAAAGGAAATCGAACATACACATGGACACCTGTCAATGGCACAGATTACAGGTACTTAACTCTATTAGTAATTGTCTCGTGTAAAGGACTGTTCAATTAAGTGGACCTTTTTTTCTTAAAAAAGCCAGTTTTCAATCAACTAGTATGAAATCTTAATTTTAGTTAGCTATTTTTAGTGGAAGTTTCAGTATAAAAATTACTCCCTCCAGCACAAAAATTAATTAGAGTCTGATTTTCAGAAAGCAAAAGGTAGAAAGTAGCTAGCAATATAATATTTAGAATGATAGCTTTATTAATGACAATAGTACTAAAGATTGATGTATACCCATAATAATTTAGAGTTCTGACTTCTATTGACTTTCTTTTTTGTTTCCATTTAGTCTAGTTTTTTTTCATTAATGTTGCAGCTTAGTTTACAAACTATAGTGTGCTTTTTTCGTCATTATATATGATATAAAATAACTTTAGCCCCACTGAACAGTTCAGTGATGTCTGGATTCCTCCTGTTTTCTGTACATTGGAACCTAGAAAACCCAGTACTCAATAATCTACTGGATGATCCCTCCTTTCTTCAAATTCAGTGACAACTATTCTGCTCCTCCCCTCCCTCCTCCCCCCTCACTCTCTTTGGTTTTTCAAGGCAGGGTTTCTCTGTATAGCCCCAACTGTCCTGGAGCTCACTTTATAGGTCAGGTTGGCCTCAAACTCAGAGATCTGCCTGCCTCTGCCTCCTGATTGCTGGGATTAACTGTGCGCACCACCACACCCAGCTATTCTGCTCTCTTGCCTTAAATCTTCTCAGAGCTTTCTCTTTGGTCTGTGTCCCATATCGTTGGAGGAGTAAAATGTTTCTTCTCGCTACTCATTATCTCTTCTTCTTGAAAATTCAACTTTTGAATTTCATATCATCAAAGCACACTTACCATCCAGTCTTCCTTCACTTTAATAGTCTCTCCTCATTCCTCCAAAACAGACTTACTTTCACTCTCCTACATTCCCAGAGATCCACATTCTGTGGCCATTAAATAAGACATATCTATATGAGTAAAGTCAAACAGGATATATTTGCTAAAATACATCTTAAAATGCACTAAAAACAACAGGTCAATTGTTTGTCATTACAATACACAGACTTAGAGTTAGTCTGTCAAGTTCTTTTCTGAAAGCTTAGCCTTAGTTTCTATACATTTTTTTTGTTTGTTGTTCACAAACTAATAAAGAGCCATTGGCAAACAGACAAGGTCCATAGCCCACACTTATGTAGTATTAAGAGAGATGACTCTCCATTTCTCCATCTTCCCTCCATTAAGGGGCTCATCACTTCCTACTTAGTCACAGACTTCAGAGTCATCTTTTGCAACTTGTACATTTTATCTACCAAAAGCTTTTTATTCTCCAAGTCATTTCCATCACCACACTTCACCAGACACAACTGCAGTAAAGTGTTGATAACCTAGCATGTCAGCTAACCTCAGGCAGCCTTTATGAGGCCCTGGAGATCTCAACAACACAACCAATTTAGGATGCTTATATATGTCTTTTCATGACTTCTTTTTTCTTCTCAAACCCATAAGTTCCCTGAGCATTTTCTCTCGGGTGAGATTTTATTTTCTTCTGTTCTGTTCAGGGAAAACTCTCAACCAAAGTACACAACGGCTTAAATGTGTGCCTCTATCTTTTTTACTTTTAATCTCAATACAGAAAAAGATCACACTTGAGTTTACTTGTTCAGTACAGCTCCACTCAAATCCCCTAGTAATATGGCATCCCATTCACTATACCACATCAGTTCTCTAGCGTTCTGTTCTCCTTCAGCACTAGCCTTCTGAATTTACTGTTCAAATACTCAGGTGAACAGCCTCTGGGTAAGCCTTGCTTCTCCTCAGAGACACTACTAGCATTGTGCTTCAAGGTCTTTGTTCCTGGTCTCTTTAAATTAAGACTGCTTCCCAAGACTGAGCCTCCTGTTTATTCCTCAGCTACATGATGCCTTTCCTTACTCTTTAGAAGGACATTTTCATATTTATTTTAAATACTGTGTTACTACCCCTTACCTCACCCAAAGCTCATTTGGGTTTACATACAAACATGTGTACTCGAGGCTTACAGAAAGACATTTAATTCTGCTGACAACCATTTCCTTAAGTTCTAAGAGGGCAGAGAGGTGCTACTTCGTTTATCTCAGAATCCCATGCTCATATCACAGAGGTACATAGTAGGTACTTTCTAAATGAATATGAAATTGAAGAGTCTCAATGTGAAGAAATAATTTTTAACGGTATACCCTTGAAATCTGTTTCATCTTACCAAATTCAGAAAATTATACCCCAAATTTTCTGTCATAATTTTCTCATGTGGCTTTTGACTATGCATTTATCACCAACCAATAGGAATCCTAATTAATTTGTTGTGACAGACTCAGCCTCAGCCACATCTTTTCATTGTTGCTGATGTTGTATTTCTTTTGCAACTCCTCAGTTCATAAACATCATACACAGACAAGGGGAGCCTTGGGTGCCAGAGATGTCTGAAAACTCTGATGTTGTTGTCAATAGGAGCGGTCTCCAGTTGTTCTTGGGATGACAAATAGAATGTAGAAGAAGAAAATAAAATGCTATTGTCTTGAGATATTGCATCCAAGTCCTTTTCTGTTTATCTTAGTTACATTTTAGGTCACTGAAAAATGCCAGAATTACTGTTTTTATGATTTTACTCATTTCTATATACTGAGTAGATTGTAATATCTAACTTTCTTCTAGGTATCTCTTTATATTTGCATAATGTTCATGAACAATTACAAGTAATGGTTTTCCTCATTTAGTTTGATTATTAGTGTCTTTCAGTTTTTGAATAAACTTATAATACTCCATGAAGGTACAGGACACTGGGAAGCTCTGTCTCTTAAGAAACAATGTCATTATAAAACAAAGTATTGCTGAGTGATGGTGTTGCACACCTTTAATCCCAGCACTTGGGAGCAAAGGCAGGCAATTCTCTGTGAGTTCAAGGCCAGCCTGGTCTACAGAGCTAGTTCCAGGATAGACAATGCGACACAGAGAAACCCTGTCTCAAAAAAAAAATCTAATAAGTAAAAATATAACTTGCTGGGCAGTGGTGGCGTACGCCTTTAATCCCAGCACTCAGGAGGCAGAGTCAGGTGGATCTCTGTGAGTTCGAGGTCAGCCTGGGCTACCAAGTAAGCTCCAGGAAAGGCACAAAGCTACACAGAGAAACCTGTCTCAAAAAACCAAAATATATATATATAAAACCAAGTATTGGTTGCATTGTATGAGAATATGGTTCCTACCTTTGTTGTTCAGATAAGCAAAGTGTAGAAACTATCTTTTTAACCATGACAATGAGTCAGCTCTGAAAGTTGCTTTTACTTCAGTTAAAAAAAAAAAGGCTACCTTTGTAGTGATCTTAATTTTGGGGTCTTGTTATTGTTTTTAATTCCTTAAGGATGTTTTAATTGCCTTCACCATTCCCCAACTCCTCCCAGATCTATCCCTGCCTCCCTAACCACCCAAATATGTGTCTTTTTCAAAAAAATAATCCCATCAAGTCCATTGTCTGCTGCCTGCATATTCTTGGATGTAAGATCTTCCACTGAAGTATGTTAGTCTTCTAGAGTCTACACCCTTAGAAAACTTACCCTTCCTTTTTCCAGCAATTAATCTCTAATAGCTCATAACTAGGCCTTGGGTTCTGTGCTCACCTCCCTTCTCCATGCTAGGGTTTGGTCTGGGCTGAGTTTGCACAGGTCTTGTGCGTGCTCTGTAACTAATCTAAGTTCATATGTGCTGCTGGACCTAGAAAACACTCTTTTCTTGCAGTCATTCACCACCCCTGGCTCTTACTATCTGCTCCTCTCCAATGACCTCTGGGCCTTAAGATGAAATATAGATGTCCTATTTATAGGTGAGCCTTCTGGTCTCTCATCATCTACATCTAAGTCAGTTGTGGGTCTCTGTGCTAATCACTATCTAATGCAAACAGAGGCGTCTCTGATTAGGGTTGAGAGATACATTAATCTACAGGTATAATGATAAGTCACTAGTAGTTGGCTTAATGTTTTATGCATTTAACATAGTAAGTTCTCCTCTGGGGCCTATGATCTGTTTATTCATAGGTTCTTGGCCCCAAAATGGTGCCAGGTATGGGTTTCATCTTGTGGAGCTAGCTAGTCTTATACCCAATCAGAAAGTGGTTCCAGGTTGCTCATGCTACCATTTCATAAATGAGCCTAGCTTGCCCAGCCTATCATTTCTGTAGCTTGCAATGTTGACAAGTAGATAATGAGTGTCTCATTGTCTCACAAATGGCCTCCACTCAGACTCTTTCTTCAACACCCAGGAGCAATGCATAGTATGAGTTCTTCCTCAAGTTCACTGTCACTCTTTGCTCACAGAATATTACAGTACAACTGTTATGGGTGATGTTGACACCACCCGTTTCCACCCCAGCCTATCTGCTGCCATTTAACTGCTCCTGTCACCATGCTGCCCTGAAGAAGACATGGCTTCCTTACGTTGCATGCTTTCCTCACATAGTCCATTCCCAAGTCTCTACCTTGGGTCTCAGTTACATGCATGTCCTAATGTCTATGCAGATAAATTCACAAATAACTAACAAGTATCATATTCTGCCTGAAAATATACCATTTGATTAAATGAATGGAATACCAATTTCAAAGACAAGTGGTTTCTGTTTTCTTAAACTTCGATCGAACTTAGGTAACATATTTTAAAATGTCAATAATGACTTTGTTTACTGGAATGTACTATTTTCTAAAGAGATCAACTTTGATGGATATAAATGATTTTAGTTGAAAACTGTTATAGTCCATTTAATTCAGCTAACTAGGTTTATGTGAATCACAAAACTATTACCTTGGCTCTATCATCCATCTAGTATCACTTGCTTTATTAAACTCTAATCTCTGAGAAGAAATCAAGAAGCCTTGTTGTATTGGGTTCATATTATGAGATCAAGCAGTCTTTGTATACAAAAGCATCATTGCCTTGGAATGTTGATAAAGATCTAATCTGCAACATGTGGAAGAAAGAACTGTTGGATTGGCTTGGAAATAGACATAACTACTTTTCTACAGAATGATTTGTGGCTATGAGTAACAATATCAGTCTCGAAGGGCAACCCATCATATATTTAATGTGCCAATTTTGAAGCTTTCATTGAGAATCCCATGGGTTGCTACACCACTTTTGATGGTGCATAACATGTAACTCAAGCTTATAGAGAGACACTCTAACAGTCGGATGATATGGTGTTATCAGTTTTAATTAGAAGTTTCTGATGAAGATTAATGCTGATGGAGCAATAAAAACCCCTAATTCCCCTTGAGAGAAATTTGTAGGAGGCAGTTTTCAAATACTCAGTAATTCTGTTCTTTTATTAATGGCAAGTGAATCATGAAAGGTCATCTTGCTTTCAGAATGATTATTGCTTATTTTAATTTTAATCCCTGCCTCCCCTTGAAGTTACCTATAAAATGAATGTAGAAATGTTCATTAATTCTGCATAACATTTTATTTTCCTGACCTTTTCCCATAAGCAAAGTCTATGCATTACTTAATGGTGGCAGAAGCTTTGGGAACTGAGGGGTACAAGTACCTACTACTTTTTGCCATTTTTATTGTAAAATTAAATTTTAGAAAGTAAACACTCATGCTTGAACACTTGTACAGGGGAGTTTTAACATTTATATTAATAAGAAGATGAGTCTAAAATTTTTTATTTTGTTTCATTATATATTTGTCTATCAGTAACATGCAATAAAATTATAGTTTGGATTTCTATTCCCGTATCTGGGGATACAGGATGGGGTGGGGAGTACTGGGATGACATAAAGGATCTACAAGTGCTTAACAATATTCAAATTCCTAGAAAGGAATATATTTTCTGGTGTTTTACTAATATTTGGGGTAATGTTAAAAAACATATTAACCAAGAATTATTCTGTTTATGGTTTCATAGACCATCTTAGAAATACACCCATTTCTTGCATCCAGGACTCACTGGTTTCCTTTTACATTCAGGGCATAGCAAAGGTCATTTTCTTTGGTGAATGTGGATAAACTATCATTTCTATGTCTTACATGGGTATATTAGCTGACAGAAGAAAATAAGTTTACTTCTGACTACTGCCTAATCTGAATTAAAAGCTCTAATATACTCATCAGGTATTCTATGAATTAGAAATTTAAAAATGTAAAGTTACCTATCTGACAGCTTCTTGTGAGCCATCATTCAAACAAGGTGGGTAACAGGCTTGCTTAACACAGTTTGTGATGAAAACATTCTGAAGTTGACCTAAGATTATAGTGGAACTGTCCTTTGGTTAGACTACATAAGCCTTAAGACTCTTACACACTATTAACCTCCAGAAATCCTTCCTCTTTAATAATAATGTGCTCGGTCATGTGGCATGTCCACGGTCAGTCAGTTGTGCAGTAAGTTGTTCAAGTGGGTATGAATGAAATCAACGATGTCTATAAAGGGTCAGAGTTCGTCCACATGGAGACACAGGGATCTTGCCATAAGACCGGAGTTTTGAAACAGTAGGTATTTAATCCCTCCAAATTGTGAATTTCTGAGAACTTTGTGCATTGTGCAGTGGTAGCAATGGTTATTCTTTCATTTTGAGTTTTTAATTATGTTTGGTTCAAAGCATTCAACATTATTTATAATTAAGAGGGTGTATCCAGCTGGTCTGCTATTTACTTTGTTTAAATTTAAACCCTATTTTCCTTCTTTTTTGTCAAAATCTGGAGTACGGAATGAAACTACCTGGAAATATAGCAGGGATTCAAGGCACTCCTCCTCAGCTTCTTTATGGCTATATTAGGTAGCTTATTACCGCCGTGCCTCTAATTCCCTGTCCTGTAGAGAGCTGGATGGCACTGTTGGGCAAGGTGGAGATCAAGAATTCTATTTGTTGAATGCATTTTCTTGTCAAAGTAACATGTCCTCTCCTTCGCATGAGGAAGATCTCTGGATTTTCCCATGAACTTGATGTCTTTTTTTTTAAGTTATGTTTTATTTTGTTTGTTTGTGTTTATGCTTCTCTTGTTTCTATTGCAGTTTGGCCTTGGTATTACCAACCTACAGTTTTTACTATATAAAAGCCAAACTAGAAGAGACAATAACTCAGGCCAGATGTAAGTACTGTGAAAGCAACTTCAGGATCTACTTGTTACCTCCTAGTGTCAGACGTTCATACCTAGATTTTGGAATGCCCAAGGCTTATGCATTTTAGTAGGTATTATTATCAAATCTACAGCAATGATTCTAACCCATTCCAAACATGCAAGGAACAAGAAATATTCTACGTGGCTAGAATATGAGCAGGTACTCCAGTCTCACTGGCAGTCCCACCACCCTTTGCTGCCTTGCTATGTGCTCAGAGAATCATTGCAGTGTGTGTGCTCTGTGCCTGTCGTTTTAAGGGTCTGTGAGCTGATGTGAAATGTTTCACATGCTAATACCAACATGCTCTCTGCTCATGGCGCTGTGCTAGCAAAGCTCTTCCTTTTCTTATCTTTCCTTTTCTTTCTCTCTTTTGTCTTTTTTGCATTTGGCTAGAATAATGTGCTTGGCAGTTAGTTTTCTTTTTATAATCCAAATTAATGTCTCAGTAACTCAAATAAATTCACTTTTAAGCATCCTTTGGAATGTGGAGTAAATAACATCAATGCCTATTTCAAGTCATTTTTAAGTTTTATTTTGTTTTTGATGGCTAGATTTAGTTAAGCAAAATGACCATCATACTTTTTGTTCACCGCTCAATGGTTACTAGCAACCTAAATTTTTTTTCTGTTAGGATTCAAGAAAAAAAATACATATATATATATACATATATCTTTTACTAGTTCCATCTTTTCTCTGCCTGTCCTTGCTGTTTGTAGCAGTGTGAGACACTTCTGCATTGTGGAAGATTAAAGTATACATTTGCACTTTCACTCCATGGGTATGATGGTCTTTTACCAGCGACTTTGCATGAGCTAGTTTCTCTGTGATGGAGGAGGGGTAACTAGTGAGTCTTTGCTCATTGGTCAGTGCTTCTGTTTGGAGCTGGCGTCATTGGTACTGCACCTGCATCAACCACTTTGCGAAAACAGACCCTTGAAATAACCACAGTACAGAGAGGGGAGAGAGTAAAATTGACAGAACAGAACTTCCAGCCTTCAAAATACATGGTTTTTCCCAGACTACAGCTGTACATGAATGGACCTTTGATCTATGCACAATATTTTTATTCACGGTCATTGAATAAAATATTGCTTGTGACCCCTTTACTTTACCCTCTTCTTTTTTGTTTCCCTGCTTTCTCTTTCTGATGGATTTACAGCAAAAAAGGGAAAAATGAAGGGCAAGTATTTTCTTGTTGCTCAATTTCTTTCTGTTTAGTCCACAGCATTTTCGCTAATATTTCCATTCCTCCTGGGTATTACCCTCTGTGCTTCACATTTGCTAGAATTGCCTCCATGACTACCCGAAAGTTGGCAGCAGACCAGGGCGGGTGTGCCTGTGTTTGCTCACACAACCTGTCACGCCCAAGTTGGTTTTATTTTTTGTAGACTTAATATCATGTTTCTTTTTTCATCTTTCCACCTACTAATTCATACCTAATATAAAGATTCGTATTGCCTCACCAAATGCATGACTGAGTTCACTCAAAGCATTTTATCATAATGTTAATAAATTTCTTCATTGATATTTTAAATAAAACACTTGCTGTAATATATGTATTAATATCTTAAGATATTTAAGTATATTAGATGAAGAGTATAAATAGCATTTTATATGTAATTACTGCTGTAACTGTCTAGTGAAGCTTACCCATATTATGATCTTATTATATTGGGAAGCATTGAGAATCTTGACAGTTGATTTGTTTCAAGTTTAAGATGTTAATAGTCTGTTTAAATTTTTCTTAACTAGGTGTCTTTACAATGGCATCATGTTGCCCTTGACCCTTGAAGCTTATGCTCTATATTGTTTATCTAATCTTATATCATTCAATTTTCAGATTCAGAAACCCTGAAGCCAGACAATTTTGAAGAATCTGGCTATACCTTCATAGCTCCAAGGTTGGTTTTGTTGTTCTGATTTCTTCTGTAATAACTCATATTGTTGGCTAAGTCCTTCAAAAACTCCTTAATTGGGGTCAAGGTTACTCTTGGCTCATTCTATGTACAATTGTGGAACCAAAGGGACAGTGACTTTTAAGCTTCCAATAGCCTGTCTATATATTCATTCAGATAACTGCTATTTGTTTTAATACTGGGGGAGCAATTGCTATAGATGGAGCAGTGTGCGAACTCAGGTGCATAATGGCAGATAGGACAGAGGGACTTTGGTCTTCTGGAGTAAACAATGCATCCAATAATGGAGAATTGTCTACTGGAGGTTGTATAGCATACACATATAAGCACAAAGGTACTCCACATATACATATAATTATCTTGGGAGCATATGTACAGATACATACATACATATGTGTAAGCCTACACACTTAAGTATGGAATGTTTTCAGCTCAAATTTTTATATACTTAACACAGATTTCTGGATGGTAGGTTTTATTAAATGATATTTTTTATTATATTTATATATAGAAAACTCAGCAGTGTACATGTAACATGCTAGTTTGGTTTTAAGTCTTTGGCTTTTGACAAAATGCCACCCACTGATTTTGGACCCAGGACATTATCTCCCCAGATTGTTTTACCTGTCATTGTTCTTGGTCCTGATTGCTTTCTTTCACTAACTTAACCAGAGCACATTTGTCTTCTGAGGTCACCTGTGAGAGGCAATGGCGCTGCACGTCTTCCTGTGGACCAGCTGCCCAACCTGGCCTTGATGCTGCAGTAGGGGGTCCCTGTGGTGTAACACAGCAGGAGGCTTTATGAGGTTTGCAAAATGTGCAACCAATGCCAGCTGGGCTTGTTTGTTCTCCACAAAGTCGTGATGATATTGACCTTGATCAAAGAACAGGTGGTCTCTCTAGGGCGTTCCCTTTGCCGGCAGCTTTCCTCTCAGTGCCAATCCACAGCCTCTGTTTCTTCTGCCACTCGGTCTCTGGCCTGTGTGTGGGCAGCCTTGAGCAGCTGGAGAGCTGACATTCTAGGGCCTTGGTGAACTTCATTGGGTTCTTGGACTGCTTATACAAGATAGGCCTTTGGAGTGGCAGTTTATTGTGTTAAGGCCATTGACAAAGTGGGTGAGGTCTCTTTGGCGCTGGATGTCCAATGTCTTTTCTCAAACAGAGGATTCACCACCTTTTTGTCCTGCTTCTTCATAACAGTAGGGGTCAAAACACCTTCCTCCTCTTGGTTTGTTTTCATTTTGGTGTTTTGTCTAGCTATGGGGGAGGAAAATACATTGCCTCACATTGTGTGTGTGTGTGTGATGTATGTAGTAACATTACCTCATGTAATTTGTGTGTCATGTATGTGTGTGTTTGTATGTGGGTGTGTAAGTATGTGAACCTGTAGATGTAACCAACGGTCTTATTAAATAAGAAACACAGAACCGATTCAGAGAAGAAAGCCAAGAGGTCAGAGATAAGAGCCTCACCCTTCCTGATTCAGGGATCCTCTTCAGCCAAGAGAGCTCTCCGAAAAAAAAGGGACCTACTTCCTGTGTGTGTCTTTATATAGTCTAGCTGTTCTGCCTTCTCATTGGTTGTAAACCCAAACATGTGACTGCCTCATCACTGCCTGAATGTACCGCCCTCCAGATCCTTAAAGGCGTGCGCCACCGCCGCCACGCACTTGCTATGGCTCTAATAGCTCTGACCCCCAGACAACTTTATTTATTAACATACAATTAAAATCACATTTCAGTACAAGTAAAATACCACCACATGAACCCATGGAGCCAAAGATCTTTGTCTGCTATTATTACTCTCCACCTTGTTCCCCAGAGGCAGGGTCTCTCATTGATTTTGAAGCTTGCAAATTCAGCTAGACTGGCTAACTAGGAAGCTCCTAGCATCTGTCTACTACCTCCTTCCAGCTCTGAGAGTCCAAGTATGCTTAGTGATTGATGCCCAACCTTATCCCATAATTTTTGTATGAACATATCTTACTAATCAAGTTTATTTCTCTCATGTAATCACTATCCAGAATGCATATCTTTATTCTACCTCTATTTGACTACTTGAAACTCGTCAATTCTTTCCTTTCTTTTTTCCTTATTTTGGGGCCCTGTCTTTAGTAGGCAGTATATAGTATCAAAATAAATACACTTCCTATTAATCCAGGCTAGATTGTCTAAGAAAATAGAGATAGAAAATTCCATTATTATGTTTTCAGTTGCATTTTGTCCAGAAATTTCTTGAAGAACCTAAAAAGGGTTCCTACAGTTATTCAGAGTTAATCCTTTATTTTTGCATATGAAAATTGCTAAATTCTGCCTCTATTTGAAAATTGGTAGTATTTGTAACATTTTGAAAAAGCCACATTAAGAAAGCTGGTCATTGGCTTTGAGAGTCCCTCCATCACTGTGCTGTAGAGGGATCATCTCCTCCACCCTTTTTGCCATCTCTCCCATGATGTTACACTGTTTTGATTTTCTCAGCCCTGTCCAATGCAGGATTCTTCCATGAACTTCATTTCTTCCCACACAGAGAAGTTGCTGAGAACTGAGCCTACCTGAGCTCTTTCCTTATGTGAGTCCATCTTCAGGCCATGAGCCATGCATAAGTTGGGGCGATGTCTCCCAAATCTAACATGACAGTTCTAACTGCTAGAAACAACAGATGCAACTGGCCTGTTGACATTGCAATAGCAAATCAAACAGATCTCTTTCCAGACTTTGTCCACCCTCATATTTCCACATAAGACATTCATGTGTCATGAAAGCCTAACAGGAATGTTTCTTCAATGTGCTTCCAATTCAGTGTCTTGTAAATATTTGTCCCACTTGGAAAGCTCTTCTTGTGTTGCTTTTATGAAGAAAATAGTATTTTTTTCGGTGTACACTCTTGAGCCATGGCAGTTGTCCTGACCTGCTCCCATTTGCTGATGTCTTACTACTAATTGATCCCCGAGTCTTGCCAGGTCTATCTTAGGACCCATGTATATTTCTGTCACTCTCTAGCTATTTGGCCCTGATGCAGGCCAAGGCCTGTTTGTGCTTATAGCTGCATCTGAGAGGATCTCACTTTTCCCCATTTGCTTCTGCTTTCCAATCCTGTTTCTATTCTGTGACCAGAGAGAGTTAGTAAACTGAAGGCATCTTTCTCAACAGCTACTAACTAACTAATGGCTCTGCATTGTTATAGTGATAATCTGGTTTGTATTCCACAGCTTTCAAGTGCTCTGTCTCCAGGGTTCAGAGTTCTATTGTGGTTCCCTTTACTGGGAACTAGGAGCTTATAGACTGGCTTGCCTATTCATTGAAGTAGAGAAAGTCTCATTTTCTCATGTAGTGTTTCTGGTGGCTATACTATCTGTTCTGGTTTGGTTTCTGTTGCTGTCATAAAACACTCTGCCCAAAAGCAATTGAGGAGAGGAATGGGTTTATTTAGATTACAATTCCAAGTACAGTCTGCTATTGAGGGAAGAATGGGCAGGAATTCAAGCTGGAACATGAGAGAGAAATCATGGAAGAACACTGGTGGCTAGCTCACAAGGGCTTGCCTATCCACCGTTTTTAGACAGCACAAGACCACTTGCCCAGCTAATGGTCCCACCCACAGTGGGACGAACCTTTCTGAATCAGTTAACCATCAAAACAGAAATCCATAGATACGCCCACGGGCCAAACTGATCTATGCAATCCCTCAGCTGAGAGTCCCTTCTTAAGGGACTCTATCTGTGTCAAGTTGACATTTGGTGCTCACTGGGACACAGTCTACGGAATACTCAGCAGTAGACATGACTAGTTCTAGCACAGACTTCATGGGCTCAGAGTCTGAGTCACTTGCTGTATTACCCTATTTTAAAAGGTGTCCCCATGCCTAGTCTTTCTTCCACTTATTCTCTTTGGCATTTTCACTATGTATCCACAAACCCCATTAAATCCTAAACCTCAACATCAGCTTGGGAAATTCCAGCCATCACTCTATTATGTGACCTCCTGATATCTTCATGCAATTTTTCATTTCTCTTACCAAAGATTTAGTCACTTTTCATTTATTCAGTTTGCTTCACAGAACCACTATGTGCCCATTTGAATTAGTCTTTGACATTCAGCATTGAATTCCTTGTCCTGTACACTGTAGAGCTGAGTGAATACTTGGTAACTGGAGAATCTAAGAATATATGGATATCATTTTTAAAAACCATAACTGTGTTCATGTATGTGTGCACATATATTCGTGCCCGCAGAGACTAGGAGTCAGCCATGGAGAATGTTTTTTAAGACAGAGACTCACATTGATTTGGAACTTAGTCAATTAGGCCAGGCTCTTTGACCAGTAAGCCTCAAGGATCCACCAATCTCTTCTCCATTCCATCACCCTTTATGTGGGTTCTGGAAAGCTAACTCAGATCTTCACACCTTCATTATCTACTATCCTAATTTGCTTTCTGTTGTTCTAATAAAACACCATGGCCAAAAGCAACTTGGAGAAAGAAGGAGTTATTTTGATTGTGCCTCCACATCATAGTCTGTCTTTAAAGGAAGTCAGAACAAGAGCTCAAGAAGGACCCTAAAGGCAGGAACTGAAACAGAGGTCATGAAGGAGTGCTACTTATTTGCTTTCTGTGACTGCTCAGCTTGCTTTCTTATATAACCCAAGACCACCTGCCCAGGAGTGGCACTGCCCACAGTGGGCTGGACCCTCCCATATTAAATATTAACAACAAAAATGCACCACAGACATGCCCAAACCATCTGATTGAGGTGAGTCTTCAATTAAGGTTTCCTCTTCCCAAGTGATTCTAGTTTGTGTTAAGTTGACAAAAACTAACCAGCATAATTTAACCCTTGTCACCTTGACACAAATGCATGATTATTAAACTATAACCTTCCCTTTATTTTTATCTCCAAGTCTCATGATAACATAATAATATAAAGAAATAGTATAATTTTAAAAGTTACACTGTCTTTAAATTTTTCAGCAAGTCCAAGATCACTATA